CCTTCAATGGTCTTTGGTTATTTTTATAATAATTAGAAATTAGATTTACAGCCTTTATTCTTACATTGTTTTGTTCATCCCTCATATTCGTATTATCACTTTTCGTGCTATTAATATGCCTTATGCTTTCCTCTAAGTCTTTTATTAACGAACAAACTGGAACTTTATTCGGTTTTATCGGGATGCCATACCCTGGTTCTAGAATTAATGTTTTTTCCACTTCGCGTGGTAGCTSAACATCCGTAAAATTATAAATACAATTATTATGTCTATTTATCTTGTTGCTATTATGTGAAATATCATATACTAAATTATTTAATTTTTTAATGTTGTTCTTTTTTATAGTTTTAAATTTATTTTCATAGTTTTTATTGAAAAATGTTGTGCAATTTGTAAAATCTGTTATTAATAATTTATTCTTTAAAACATTATGTGTTTTGTTGATGCTCTGTTCGATTGTCTTAACTTTCCAAGCTGTAATTTTTATTTTAATTTAAGGATCTTATGTTTTAGAGACTTAACTAATTTATCTGTCTCTTTTTTATAAGGATGTGTTTCAGCTTGGATAGCGTACATATATTTTAAGTTGTTTATAATATGTTTAGGATAAACTTGTTTATATTTGCATTGTATTAAGAATATTAATCTGTTTTTGTTTCCTGCCAACTTGTTAAGGTCATTAATCCAATTTTTTGCATGTCTCATTCTTGTTATATCGTAATTTGTTACCAAATAGTCAAAATAGCCCCTCAGCATTATTATTTAATCAGTTATATCTCTCGGCCAGAATTATAATTCTTAATGATATGATATCACAGGGAACTTGGAAAAGACTCTTTTAAAGAATAATAACTATCCCATGAGTCTCATACACATGGTATTTAATAAGTTTAAAATGGACAAAGATCGTGTTAATAATCCGAATCCGCAAGATAAAAAATACATTAAGTTCCCATACATTAAACCGTTAGTAAGTAAAATAAAGAAATGTTTCAAAAACACTAATATCAAACTAGTTTTTTATAATCTAACAAAAATAAACACTATTTACACCAAATTAAAAGATAAGGTAGACAAATCTGACCAGTCGAACTTAGTGTATAAAATACCATGTGAATGTGAAAAGTGCTATATTRGACAAACTAAACAGAAACTTAAAAAAGGATTAGACCAGCATAAAAATGACTGTAAACCTATAAATGTAAGTAAAACTAATACCACAGCGTTAGCTGAACATCATTTTATAACAGGACATAATTTAAATTTAACGCAGCAACTATTTTAGATTTAGAAGAAAATTGGTATAAAAGAAATATCAGCGAAATGTTTCATATATCAAACAATAACACGRTAAATTTTAGAACAGACACAAATAATTTAAATCACATCTATAACGGAATTTTTAAATTTAACGATAATAAATAGAACACTATAATAGAGGACACCTTCCATTGAAGATATCTAGACTAATAAACACTAGTAAAGATTAAGGTAACATGTAAAAAATTATATATTGTATGAGCCTCATGTATGTCGTAATATGAGAAATGATAATAAAATTTTTAGTTGCTGAAGAAGTCCCAATAAAGGGACGAAACGCTTCTTTAGTTAAATTAAGTTCTACTTCTTTTTTATGTCCAAGTTCCCTGTAATACCTTATCATTAAGAATTATAATCTTGGACAAGAGATATAACTGATTAAATAAATATAATATAAATATAAAATATAAATATATATATATAAATCTTTATCAATTGTATTAAATATCTTTATTTTAGAGTATGTATTATATTGGGACGCGTGATAGATGCAGTTATTTTTGATGTTAATGTTTTTTTTAAAGTTATTTTTTTTTTTAAGTTATTTTTGAGGTTATTGAGGTTGTACTCGTTTTGGTATGCTAAAGAAGTTTAATTTCTTACGTGCATTCATAAGTACATACACACGTTTTTTTTTTATTTAAGATTTGGTAGTCGATACTTTTTGGTCGCTATAAAAACCAATTTCGTTTAATTTTTTTTACAACTGTCAGTTAACGGTCAGTTTTAACACGGAGTGCGAAATAAGCATTTTCGACATATTTTACTTTTTTATTTTTATAAAGGCAAGAAAGCGGCTGAGGCTTACAAAAAGATATGTGAAGTTCATAGTGTTGATTATTTAATAGAAAACACTTATCAGAATTTGTTTAAAAAATTTCGTTTGGGAGATTTCTCACTGAAATAAAACCGACGTTCTGGTTGACCTTCTGAAGTTAATGATGACAAAATGAAAGCGATAATTGAATGGAATCGTCACGTAACTGTGCGAGAGATAGCAAAACAGTTAAATGTATTACACACAACAATTAAAAATCATATTAGACGTCTTGCACTTGTTAAGAAGATCGATATTTAGGTTCCGCATGAATTGAAAGAAATTCACCTAACGCAACGAATTAATGTTTGTGATACGCATTTTAAACGTAATATAGTCGATCCTTTTTTGAAACGAATTATCACTGACGATGAAAAATAAATCGTCTACAATATCGTTAATCAAAAAAGATCATGGTCCAAGCATGATGAACCAACACAAACCATATCAAAAGCTGAGTTGCATCAAAAAAAGATCATGCTGTAAATTTTGTGGGATTACACAGGTGTTGTGTATTTTGAGCTGCCTCTAAACAATCAAACGAACAATTCAGATGTTTACTGCCAACATCTTGTGAAATTGGAGGAAGCAATCAAAGAGTAAAGGCCAGAATAAGCAAATCGCAAAGGAATAGTGTTCCACCACGATAATGCGAGGCCTCATACATCTTTAGCATTAGGTACGAAATTATTGGAGCTTGGTTGGAAAGTGATGTTGCATCCCCCATACAGTCCTGACCTGGCACCATCGGATTATCATTTATTCCGAAGTTGGCAAAATTTCTTAAATGGTAAAAATTTCAGTAATAACGATGACCTCAAATCGCACTTAGCTGAATTTTTTGCTATTAAGGACCAAAAATTCTATGAGTGCGGGTTCATGAAGTTACCAGAAAGATTTCAAAAGATAATCGAACAGAATGAAAGATGTTTGACTGATTAAAGTTCATATTTTGTATAGAAACCGAAATTACTTTCTTGCTAATCCAATATAAGTAACGGTTAAAAATTGCGAATTACAGGAATTTTAGAAAGGATTTGCGTGAATAATGATGGATCAGGGAATTTCAGTGAGGTTGTGAAGACAGTAGTTCCCCTGAGCTATGGTTCTCTAAAATATTTATTAACAGAATAAGTTAGGTATAGAATTAATAGCAGGCAGAAGTTTATTCGTACAGACTTTTGCTTACGCACTCTTTAATATGTGGTGATTACAAGATTCGTTAAACTGACTAACAGTAACACTATTTACCTGCTTGGCGGCGACACAAATTAAAAGTAAGTAATAGCACAATATTAATAGTATGTAGTGACATAAAATTATTAGTAAGTAGTAGCACAAAATTAATTAAATAATGCCCTAAGTACCCTTCCTTATATATGTAAAAACATTCCTTTACCAGCATATCGCGCGATCTCTGTTCTATACCTATTTTGCTATACCTATAGCTATTTGGCCATACCTGCAGCTATTTTACTGCGTTAACAGTAAAATAAATGTCAAAAATACTAAGTGCCATTTAAAAAATAAAAGGTAGTCTTAAAAAGCATTAAAAAAAATTTTTTTGAAGCCTTTTTTATTGCAATATATAATCAATAAAAAATAGATTAACTATTGTTTAAAATATTTTTTGTCAGGTTATCACAAGTACTTGAAAAATCATGACTAGCGTTATATGGAAAACGGTTGTTACGGTGGTTACGGTCAATGGTAAAAATCCAGACATAGTTGAGAAAGAATAATTACAAACGATAAGTTACAGCTATGTATGTCTTGAGAATTTTTTTATACATTGTCCCGTCAATCTCCAAAATGTTCATAGGATAGGGGTAAATGTAGAATATATTCTTCAGGTGGCTATGTTTAAGCAGGTGAGGAAGAACAAAATGATATTAAACACATGTAAGTGAAACAAACAACGAAATATATAGTATGTATTGTCATGAAATTATCTTTAATTCAGTACAAAAGTGTCAGTAAGTAAAGTGATAAATGCAAAAGAAAACGTAAAAAGTCTTGCACTGTTTCTAAATTTAAGTATTTAGCATACATTCACGATCTCAACTATCATTATCAAAGGATTCTTGAAACAATTTTTCAAAGATTTTAAATACCTCAGGAAATATATTAGTTCACGGAGATAGATTTCCGGTTCGGTTAGTTCAGTAATTCAATTTTTTTACGAATTCTATAATATAGATCTATTTAATTGTTTGTTAGTTTATATCTTTAAAAACTTTCATTACCTTTACGGTCGAAAAAAAATAATTTATTTGTATAACTTTTTAGTACAAAAAATTTTTGTTGATCGCTAAATATAGTGTTATTAAATAATTATATTTTTATAAGAATTTAAAAAAAATAATAAAATATAGCGGAGGTATATGCTTTTCTGTGAAACACGATTTCCACAATGAAGCTAGAAGCATTGTTAGAAATCGTCCGAAACAAACCCTAGGAGATTTTCTGTTAAACAAATTTAATATTCGGTTGGCAACTATAAGAATGCGCATATTTTAATAATAATCTATTGACAAAATCCGCAATCACTCATTTGCCGACCAAATAGTTACAATTTAACGTAGAAAGAAGATTTTTTAATAATATTTATGAAAAGGATAGTTAAAAAGAAAATCGAGATTTCGTTAAAATTGTAAGTTTAAAGATTAAACATAAGGTTAACGAGGTCTCTAATCGAAGAGATCCAATACTACATCCTTACCCATTGATAATTGAATAAAAAAAATAGAAACTGTAATAAAATTAGTAAAGTAATTATTGAGATATAAGCTGGAGTAGTTCGAAAATTGTAGCCTTTAAACTAAAATTTACAATTTTTGTTTTAATCTTTAATAAATCTTACCGCAATAATCGTGTATGTGATTCAACAACTGCTTGGATTTTTTCCCTATTTTTTGTAGGATCAATATCTATATTATTTATTTGTAATGCAAGAACTGACATTTGACCACAAATGTGAAAAACAAGAGTGACCATAATGCAATCTGCAGCACTTTGTCCAAAACCACTAATAAAGACGAACGGTAGTTCGAGAGCGTAGATGATGATATAACTCTGTAGATTTTCAAATGGGTAGAATGTATAAAACCGATACGGCAGCAAATAAATGGTTTTGCTTATATTTCCTGTCTCTATAATTGGAAGTCCTATAAAAAAAATCTAAATAATTTATCTAAATATTATAAAATAGTAATTAATACATATTTTTATTTATTCGATTTGTTTTATAAAAATAGACTTCATATTTTATATACTGGTTGTTTATAATAAAATGCACAAAATTTCTCTTTCATAAACCAAACATACTTGAAAATAAAATAATTACTAATAAAATAAGTTATTTTTGGAGCCCTATCTGAACAATATTTCTATATAATTTCGTGTCACCAAAATAATTTGCAACACATTATTTTTAAAAAATATTATGTAAACAAAAATTTCTAATATTAACGTTTACTAAACTGTGATACAAGTATCAAATGAAATTTGCATTAATCATAATTATTATTTTTAATCGAAACAAAATTTATTTCTATCAAAAATAAAAAAATTTCTTACCATTGCCCAAAGCCACTAGTAATGGAGTCAAGTAATACGAAGACGCAGTAAGAGCGACGAACGTAATAAGAAGCTTCATGAAAAGCTTAGATTTTGCGTTGTACGAAATAAATAGTTCCCTTTCCTCTTTCGATTTGTATCTTTCTTTAACAAAATCTTTAAATACTTCAACAATGAGATCACCTATCTCATCGTTGTATTTCCATAACATGCTCATTCTAACAAATATCTGCGAGAATGCCATATTCTCCGTTAAATTCATAATAACGTGTTCCAGATCATTAATAAATATAAAAAGATCTAGGTATTCCAAAATCATGAGAAAGCTGAAGTATCCAAAATTAAGAGAAAATTGAAGATTATTTCGCGAATGTGGCCAGAGTCCTATAGTAGACATTAATTTCTTGTTCCAAGATAAAATCACAGCTGCACGATTAAGTTCTTCTTGTTCCTGCAAAAAAATATATTTGTATTTACCATATATATAGATAATGCTGCGACTTGAAAATATATTTATGTAAAGTATTGTATTTTATGTATTTATACGTCTTTTATTTTCTTTCTCTATAGCTTCTTTTTATTTTTTTTAATTATAATTTTCATTTTTAATTTCTATATTTTATCGATGAACTTAATTATAAAAATTTACAAAAGCTAAAAGTTTTTGAATCTATTTTTACTTTCAAATATTTTTTCAATTATTGGAAAGAAAATATTTATTTGGCAATAAAAAGTAAAAATATGTGTTAAAAAATATACAATTTATTAAAATATAAAAAATTAGGTTCCCTAATTTAATACGTAATAAAATGTAGAAAATTGTATTAAAAATTATAAAATTTTTCAAAATATAAAAAATTAAGTTTTTTAATTAAATACGTTAAAAAAGTATTATACGTAAAAAATAAGCCTAATATTTAGTTAACACTGTGTATTAAACTTAGATTTCCATAAAAATAGTACATTATTAATGAAAACTTAAAAACTGATCTTTCAAAAAAAACATCTTTTTTTTATAAATAGTGTGACGTCCCGCCCCGCTTATAACTTCTAGAACATTATTTTTTCCTTAGCGATGCTTAATCTTTCTTAGTATTTTTCCATTGCATGATATACCGGGAAACCTTCTCCTTATTTCTTGCACGTGTGCGACCTATTTGTCCTCTATGGCAGTGCACGCGCATTCCAAAGGTGCGAACTGGGCAAAATCTAATAATCACATCCGTTGGCCGTTAGAATAAGACGGGCGGATGTACGTAAATGAAATTGTAAGCCCATCAACAGAAAACAAATATTCTTAGAAAAAAATGAAGAAAGAAATCATAGGCGCCAGAGCGTCCTAAATAAATATAAAAAACGTATTAATTGCTGCTACTACGCGATGACGCGAGTGCAGCCTCCGCTGGTGCCACTTCTTGGAATGCTCGTGGGACCGCTTAGGTCAGCGGAATTCGCCCGTGGGAATAGGTGCGAGCGAACCCCTTGTTCCTGGTTAATCCTCGTTTGTTGTATCTGAGTGTGAATATTCTGTATCAACCATTGAGCGTGAATTGGTGTTTATTTAATTTTAAGATAAAAATTGAGTTGCTGTGTTTTGTGAGTGTTTCCACATGTCACGGGAAATCGCTTATATTCCAACCAAATCAAAAGAAAGAAAAAAGTTCATCAGTACTCTAATAAGAGAACAAACACGAAAAGTAAGCTTCCCATTGGATTAAGGAATTTGTTATTGTACATCTACGAAACTGTAAGTAAATGTTTCCAAATATTAAATCAACTTGTGAACCAGAGCAACGATGAACAGACTTTAACGACCAAACCTACGAATCCTCCAAATTCCTCCTCACTCTTCCTATCAATTATTTGTATTGGAATATTATTGTGCCATTTTTATTATTGTTTAATTCTTGGGAAAAACGAACCCGCCTGGTCCTAGTTATACTCGGTGCAAGCAGAGTAGCAAAAACAGGCAATTAGTTAGTTAAATTTAACATATTGCGTTACTAGACGTAACAATAGCTATAAACAAAAAAATATAGTCTTATCCATAATATTATGTAAAATACTTTTAAGAATAGCTGCATTAAGTTTCTGCTATTTCTATAAATATAAAGAAAGAATATATTGTGAAATAACTATATTAATATTAAAACATAATACAGTAATAAAAGATCCCGTGCTTGATATTGCTACTTATATCGATGTGTCCCTTAATTCATCTTCAAACAAGCTGTGCTCAATATCTCTTGCAAGCTGGTCGTTTGTCACGTCACGTATTATTCATTTCGACAAAACAAAGAACAAAATATGTCAATAATAAGCCTTGCAAGAGTTTTATAGTATTTTTAAACTATAAGCACTCAACATAGGCAAACGGGTACTATTGACCGCTGCAAACTTTACAGAATCATTCATTCTTAGGTATTTTTTTAATTTTTTTAATACCATGAACGTAACGAAAGATAAAAAATATATCTTAAAAAGTATTCTGTTTTATTAGTTTCTTTATAAAATTAAAATAAAAAAAGAATACTTTAAATAAAAGTTACTACTAAAACAAAGCATGATTAAAGTATTTATTAGTCTAAAGATCATATAAGAGACTAGTCTTCTTAGGAAGAGATGTTAAACTAAAAATAAGCCCTACAAAATGTTTAATAAGATTATATGAAGAAATTGATCTTATATTAAATAAGTGTAAATAAAAATTGAATAAGTAATACAACGTGATGGATTATCGAATGAATTATAAGAATGATGCAAGATGATCCTCAGATTAGCATTCGTCAATTAGCATTGAATGCTTAGGTATAATTATACTACATTTGTCAGTAATCAACGCGTCTTTATCCTTTAGATGGCGCTCCTCTCGTTATAATAACTTCTGTTTAAGTAGATTTAAATAAGTCTTTTTCGTGAATGATAATCGTTTTGTATTACTTATCATAAAATAAAATAAATATTTATAATAATTTCTACATTATTATAGGCTTTGTACCTGATTCGAAATCTATGTAATCTTCAAAAAATGTAAAAAAAAAATAAAGCTATTCGACAATTAGAAGAATACAAAAAAACTAAATTTTTATCGTAGAATATCTAGACAGAAGCTATTCTTAAAATTGCAGGATAGAAAACAATAAAATAAAGGACAAAAATGTTTTCTTACCTATTATATTGTTAGCAGCTGTATAACTGACAGATAGTATTTAAATGTCACAAGTTTCTATTAACGTATAACAACATATTATAAAAAAATTGGACAAAATATTCTGGTAACAATATTTCATAAGAAGAAAACCAAAGAGAAACTTTTTAAGATGAATGGTAAAAAAATCTCATATTTTAGGAATATTATTCAAAATTAAAGCTTCTTTGATTGCTATGCATTAAAAGTTCTTTAAATTCATTAATATATTACCAAATATATTATTTAGAAAATGTAACTTTTTTTTTAGTACGATTTTTATTAAAAGCTAAATTCTTATAATTGCAGATTTTTTTTTTCAGAGAACATAAGTATAAGTTAAATATATTTGATATATGTATATATAAAATAAGTTTGTAATATATCAGAAAAAAGAAACATTAAATTTTATTTCATGAGTTTGTCAAAGTTTTTTTATGAATTTAAATTATTTAGAACAATTGTACTTGATACTAAATGCAAATCGAAAAACAAGTCCATAATGTAATCTGACGCACTGTTTGCAGATTCCTTATTATAAAATCAGATACAAATAATAATTAAAAAAAGATCGTACTTTTTGGTTTTGGAAATATAGGTTAAATTATAAATAAACTTATTGTTAGGAATACTGAAGTTTGTTCCATAAAAAAAACTATATTTACATTAAAAACTGATTAAATAGTTTTTACTAATTTATTAAATACGTATACTTTTGAAAATTAATACAAGGACCTAGTCCGTTCAAAATATATAGTATAACACTAATATTAATGCTTACTGGCATGACAAATAGAAAATTGTGTACGTTCTTTCAAGTTGTTCGATAGCTTTTATCTCTTTGATGGTTCACCAAAAACTGCAGTAAAATTGCGTCAACGCAATCGCAGTAGTAATCTGTAACGATCGAATTTCGGAGGGTGGACTATAGAGTAGACTACCAGAATTGTATGAAAAGAAATTCATGCGCCTGTACCGTAATTATAGACCTTCGACTTTTCAAAAAAAAAGAAAGACGAAGAATAGAGAAGATTGATGGTTACAATGTAAATACATGTATCATTGAATAAAATTGTCTATAACGATTATTTATATTTTCCTTTCACTTTCACCTCACCTTTTCTACATCATTGTTGGTGTAAGTTTAACAGTCGTACTAAAAACGATTTGTAGTATAAAATTAGAGATTATACATTTGCGAAAATTACGAAGGTAAGTATAAATCGCTATCTTCGTCTTTTTCTAACTTTATATCTATATCTTAATCAAGCTTCAAAAAACTAAAAGTATCTTTTAGAATTCGAAATCTTAGAATTTCATGAAATTTTGCTTTAGTCTAAGAACGAATGTGTTAAAAATAAAATTAATATTTTTCGAACAGTATTTTTTAATAAAAATAATTATATTCCTAAAAATATACAATTGCGTGTAAATAATCACAATAAAAATAAAAACATGAAAAAATAGTGTGACGTCCCGCAACGCTTATAATTTTTAGAACATTATTTTTTCCTTTGCGATGCTTAATCTCACTCAGTATTTTTCCATTACGTGACATACTGGGAAACCTCCATCCTATTTCTTGCACGTGTGCGACCTATTTGTCCTCTACGGCGGTGCACGCGCATTCGAAGAGTGCCAATTAGGCAAAATCTAATAATCAAACCCGTTGACCGTTAGAATGAGATGACGAAGATGACGCAAGGTCATCCTCCGCTGGTGCGACTTCTTGGAATGCTCGTGGGACCGTTTAGGTCAGAAGAATGCGCCCGTGGGAATAGGTGCAAGCAAACCCCTACCAGGGTGTTTTTCAACATACATAGAGAGCAACAATTGGGCCCTTGCGAGTCTATTCTTTATCTCAGTTTTTATCTTACCTGTGAGTCTTAGTTTCTGAATTTCTCTGGATATCAAATCTTAGTTTTTGTCTTAATTTACCTCAATCTCAGTCTCAGTCTGCAAATCTGATATAGTCTAAATTTTGATCTTCTTAATAAATTAATTAGTTGTGCTGGTTAAAAGTTACTGCAAACCTTCTTATTATTTGTGAATCAATATCTGACATGAGTGTGAAATTGAGTGATTGTGCTTGTGTGTCTTTCTACATGTCACATCAAGTTATATTTATTCCGACTGGGCTGAAGGGTGAGAAGAATTTCATTAATACATTGATTAGAGCCCAAACTAGAAGAGTAAGCTTTTTGTCGGATTAAGGAATTTATTATTGTAAATCTACGAAACTGTAAGTAAATGTTTCTAAATATTAAATCAACTTGTGAACCCGAGCAACGATGAACGGAATTTAACCACTACACCTAAGAATCCTCCAAATTCCTCCTCATTCCTTCTATCAATTATTTGTATTTGAATATTATTTTGGCATTTTTATTGTTGTTTAACTTTTGGGAAAAGCGAGTCTGCCTGGTCCTAGCTATACTCGGTGCATATAGAATGGCAAAAACAGGTTTTGATTAGTTAAATCTAACATTTTTCGTTCTCGGACGTAACATTAATATTTTTATTTTATTGAAGTTATTATTAACCCTTTCGCTACGAGCGTCGCCTATAGGCGACATCATCTGCCTGTCAAAATGCTCAACTAAATATAAACTGAGCTAATTGTGTTTCTTGGCCAAAAACTTGATATAACGGTAACTCGACGACGCTGAATCGAATGGTGCTAATTTTTTTGCAATACAATGCTGCGTTTACGAGAAAAAGGGTAAAAAATGGTAAGAAAGCCATATCTTAGAATCTAGGCATTTAATCGAAAAAACTTTTAAACAAAAGTTGTAGAAAATTAAAAAATACATAAAAAATGTTGTAAAGTGTATCTTCGTATTTGCAAAAATAAGCGAGAAAATGAAGGTGAAAGGTAATTGTAAGAGAGGGGGCAAGCCACGCCTCTTCGTTAGTTTTTACACGCGAGCTAGCTAGTGTGCGTTATCTTAGGGTCTCTCGGTCGTGAATGCGAGTGCGAGTTAGAAAAGAAATGGATATTATTTCTTTAAGCGATAGCGATTCTTTTTGTTTGGGCCATCGATTGTTGAGTGTTCTGTATGATATATTTCTGATATTCTTTTATGCTGTAGCGAGAATTTTTCGTCTTGGCCATCAAGTGTCGAGCGTTATGTATATCTATCTATATATATATATATATCGGCGTATAAGCGCGGCATTTTTAAATCGAATTTTGGTGCTTATAGCACGTCGTTTTTTTATTTATTGTCAAAAATAGTGAACCTTGATTAAAAGAAAAACATGCAGGTGCAGATAAAATTGCAGTTGAATGTGCAGAGTCATTTTTATTTGTAATTGCTAATGCAGTTGCAGTGGCAGCTGCAGTTGCATGGTCAGGTAAAAAGTTAAAAATATATATAAAAAAACGAAAATGTAGTTGCATTTTCATTTGCACTTGCAGTATAGGTTGCATGTGTAATTGCAGTTGCAGTTTTAGTTATAGCTAAAAGTTAAAGGAATAAAAATTGAAAGAATGAAGAATTTAAAGGAAAAGTTTTTCTTGTAGAGTCATATGCAGTGGCATTTACTTCTGCAATTGCAGTTGCATGTGCACGTAAGAGGTTAAAAAAATATAAAATAAAAAAAATGAAGTAGCAATTGCGGTTACAATGCAGTTACTTGTGCAGTTGCAATTTCATTTGCATGTGCAGCTAAAAACATAAAAAAAATACAAAAAATAGAAAATTCAGTGGATATAGCAGTAGCATGTGTAGATGCGGTTGCAGTAGCGGTTGCATAAGCAGTTAAAAAGTTAAAGCATTGTATATTAAAAAAAATGCAGTTGCAGTTTAAAAGTGAAAAAATTAAATATTGAAAAAGCTTAGCTGCATTTCAAATTAAAGTTGCACGTAAAATTGCATTTGCAGAAACAGTTGCATTTGCAGTTGCAGTTGCTTGTTTAGTTGAATTTCCAGTTGCATGTGCAGTTGCAGATGCATATATAGTTGCAGTGGCTGTTAAAAAGGTAAAATTATATAATTGAAAAAATGCAGTTGCAGTTAAAAATTGCAAAAAAACTACAAAATAAAAAAGTTTAGTAGCAGTTGCACTTGTAGTTGCAGTTTTATTTGCATTTGCAATGGCAGATAAAGTTTTGTGTGCAGTGGCAATTGCATGTGTAGATTTTTTTCCAGTTAAAAAGTTAAAATTATATAAATTAAAGAAATGCAGTCGTAATTTTATTTGCATTGGCAGTGGCAGTGGCATTTGCTATAGCAGTTAAATGTGCAGTTAATGGTGCAGTCGTAATTTTATTTGCATTGGCAGTGGCAGTGGCATTTGCTATAGCAGTTAAATGTGCAGTTAATGGTGCAGTCGTAATTTTATTTGCATTGGCAGTGGCAGTGGCATTTGCTATAGCAGTTAAATGTGCAGTTAATGGTGCATGTGTAGTTCCAGTTGCAGTTAAAAGTTTAAAAATATATTTAATAGAAAAAAATGCAGTTGCACTATTAAATTGAAATAACTATATAATAAAAAAGTTTAATTGCAGTTGCCATTGCTTGTGCAGTGAACGTTGCCTTTGCACTTGCAGTTTTATTTGCATTTGCAGAGGCAGTTGCTTGTACACTTAAGAGGTAAAAAACTATATATAATAAAAATAAAAATGCAGTTGTAGTTGATGCTTCATGTGCAGTAGTAGTTCTATTCAAATGGTAAAAATATGAAAAATAAAAAAATGCAGTAGTAGTTAAATAGAAAAAAACAAATGTTATAAAAAAGTTTAGTCGCAGTTGCATTGGCAGTTACAGTTGCAGTTGCAATTTTCGCTGTACTTGCAGTTGCATGTGCAGTTGTAGTTTTAGTAGTATAATCAGTTGCAGTTGCATTTGCTATTGCAGTGGCATGTGCAGTGGCAGGTTCATGTGTATTTGCAGTTGCAGTTAAAAAGTTCTAAATATGTAAAATTAAAAAAAACCTTCCCTAGTTAAAAAGAAAAAAAAATTTATATTAAAAAAGTTTAGTCGCAGTTGCTTGTGCAGTTGCATATGCTATTACAGTTACATGTGCAGTTACAGTGGCATTGGCTATAACAATAGAATGTGCAGTTAAAAGTGCATGTGTAGTTGCAGTGGCATGTGCAGTAGTAGTGGCAGTTGCATGTGCCGTTGCAGTTGCAGTTGCAGTTGCACTTGAAATTGCAGTAAAATTTGCTATCGCAGTTGCGTGTGCAATTGCTGTTTCATTTGCATTTGAAGCTGTATGTGCAGTTGAAGTGCATGTTAAGTTATAGTTTCAGTTGCATGTGCAGTTGCTGCTGCATGTGCAGTAACAGTTTCAGTTGCAATTGCATGTGAAGTTGCAGTAAAGTTTGCAGTTGCAGTTGCCTTGCTGATACAGTTTTTTTGAATTTTACAATGCAGTTGCATGTGCAGTCGCAGTTAAATGAGCAGTCGTAGTTGCATGTTTAGCGTTAGTAGCAGTTGCATATGCTTTTGCAGATGCAGTTGAAATGCATTTGCTGATGCAGTTACATGTGCAGTTACAGTTGCATGTGCAGTTACAGTTGCCTTTTTCGTTGCAGTTGCATGTTTATTTGCATTTAAATTGTCAATTGCAGTTGCTGATGTATGTCTAATTGCATTTGCAGTTGCATGTGCATTTTAGTTGCAGTTGCACTGGCATATGAAGTTGCAGTTTCATTTACTGTGGCAGTTGAATGTTTAATTGTAGTTGCAGCTACATTTGCAGTTCGAGTTGCATCTGCAGGTGCTGTTGCAGTTGCAGTTCCATGCTGAGTAGTTGCTGCAGCTGCATGTACAGTTGCAGTTTTAGTGGCAGTTGCAGTTAACCTTGTAGTTTCAGTTGCATGTGCAGTTACAGTAGCATGTGCAGTTGCATTTACAAGTGTAGGGTCAGTTGCATCTTCAGTTGTAGTTACAGTTTCATGTGTAGTAACAGTTGCTGTTGCAGTAGCATGTAATGTTGCAGTTGAATCTTCTATTGCAGTTGCATGTGCCGTTACAGTTGCCTGTCTAATTGTAGTTGCAGTTTTATGTGCAGTTGTAGACGCCTGTTTAGTTTTGGTTGCATTTTCATGTGCAGTTAGAGTCGCACGAGATGCAGCAGTTGCAGTTGCAGTTCGAAGTGTAGTAGTAGCGGCAGTCGCTAGTACAGTTGATGTTACAGTTACAGTGGCATGTGCAGTGGCAGTTGCATGTGCAGATGCAGTAGTATGTTTAGTTGTAGCTGCTGTTCCATGTTTAGTTACAGTTGAACTTGCTTTTGCAGTTTTGTGTGAAATTGTAGTTTAATTTTTAATTGCAGCTGAAGATGCAGTAATTGTGCATGTTAAGTTGTAGTTGGTGTTTTATGTGCAGTGGCAGTTGCATGTGCAGAAAGAGTAGCATAAATAGTTGTAGTTGACGTTGCATGTGCAGTTGCAGTTGCATTTGCAGTTATAGTTGAAGTTGCAGATTTATTTTTCGATGCATATGGATTTGCAGTTGCAGTTTCATGTGCATTAGCTTTTGCAACTGCTGATTTATTATCACTTTACAATGCAGTCGCAGTTTAAGATGCATATGCAGTTGACTGTGCAGTTGCAGTTTTAGTTGCAGTTGCATGTGCAGGTGTAGTTGCATGTGGAGTCGCAGTTTTATGTGCAATTGCTGTTGAATTGGCAATTGCAGTTCCATAATCTTTTGCAGTGGTAATTTTTGTCGTATGTTGCAGTTGTGTGTACTGTAGCAATTTAGTTGCAGCTGCATGTGCAGTTGCATAAGCCAATTTAGTTTAAGTTAAAGATTCATTTTTTTTTCAATCGTATTTGCATTTGAATGTCTTGTTTTAGTTACAGTAGCATGTGCAGTTATTGTTGCATTTGCAGTGGCAGTTGCAGTTGCCGTTTAATGTGTATTTGTTACTGCAGTTGCATGTAAAGTTGCAGTTTAAGTGGCAGATGCATTCGCAGCTGCAGTTGCATGTGCAGTAGCCGTGTCATCATCAGTTGTTGTTACAAAGGCATATGCAGTTGCAGTTGCCTATGCAGTTTTAAATACTGTTGCCTCTGCAGTTGCATGTGAATATGCAGTTGCAGTTGCTTTTGCAGATCCAGTTGCATATTTAGTTGTAGTTACAGTTGCAAGAGTTATTGCAGTTTCATTTGCAGTTGCATGTAAAGTTGCAGTTAAATTTGTTGTTGCAGCTGCTTGTGCAGTTGCAGTTAAATGTGCATTCACAGTTGCATGTCTAGCTGTTGTTGCATTTGCATGAGCAGTTAAAGTTGCATAAGCAAGTGAAGTTGCATGTTCAGCAGCAGTTGCCATTGCAGTAGGATTTGCATGTTTAGTTGTAGGTGCATTTGCATGTGCAGTATAAGTTGCAAGCGCAGTTGCCGTTGCATGGGCAGTTTAGTGGCCTTTTTAGTTGTGTTTACATTAGCAGTTGCAGTTGCAGTTAAATGTTAAGTTTTAGTTGCAGTTGCATGATTAAATGCTGTGGCAGTTGCTGATGCATATGCAGTTGCAGTGGAAGTTGCTTTTGCTGTGGCAGTTTTAGTTTCAGTTTCTTGTTTAGTTGCACGTTTAGTGGCAGTTGCTGTTGTATGTGTAGTTGTAGATGCAGTTGCAGTTCTTTGTTTAGTTGCTGGTTTATTTGCTGTAGCAGTTTAAGCTGCGTTGGCAGTTACAGTTGCAGTTATAATTTTATGTTTACTTTCTCTATTAGTTGCATCAGTATTTGCAGGTACAAATACTGATTCATAGGCTGTAGCAGTTGCAATTGCAGTTGCATGTTTAGTTACAGTTTCAGTTAAGTGTTTAGTAGAGACTGGAGTTGCTTGTTCAGTTGCAATATCATTTGCATAGGCAGTTAAAGTGAAAGTGGCGTTTGCAGTTGCAGTTGCAGTTAAAAAAGCTGATGCATGTGCAGTTGCAGTAGAAATTGCAGTTGCATGTGTAGTTGCAGTTATAGTTAAATTTACATTTGCATGTGCAGTTACAGTTTTTGTAACGTTTGTTTGTTAAGATAAACATAAAAACACAAATTTTAAACAAAAAAATGCAGTTTTAGTTGCTGTAGCATTTGCATTAGCAGTTGCAGAAAAATTTGCTATTGTAGTAGAATCAGCTCATGCAGTTGCATTTTAATTGTCATGTACAATTGCAGTTTAATGTGCAGTTGCAGTTTCCGTAACAGTTTTACGAGAAGTTGCATTTGCAATTGCAGTTTAAATTAAAATAGCATTTGTAGGTGCAGATGCAACTTCCTGTTCAGTTGTAGTAGCAGTTTTACCTAAGTTTGTTTTTTTATGTGCTGCTGCATTTATAGTTGCATTTTATGTCCTAATAGCTGCAGCAGTGGCCGTTGCAGTAGTAGTTGCAGTAGCAATTGCAGTGGCAGTAGCAGTTGACGTTGCAGTTGCATGATCAGTTGCAGTTAAAGTTTCAGTTGCTCTAGCAAATTCAGTTGAAGTTGCAGTAGATCTTTCACGCGCAAAAGTAGTTGCAGTTGCAGTGTCTTAAGCAGTTTTATAGCAGGAGTAGCAGCTGTTGCAGATTCAGTTGCTGTAGCATGCGCAGATGCAATTGCAGTTGCATTTACAGTTTCTCGTGCAGATGTTGTTGCAGTTTATGTTGTTGTAGCTGCAGCAGTTGCAGGTGCATGTTCAGTGTCAGATAAAGTTGCAGTTTCTCTAGCAGATGCAGTTTCGGTGTCTGTTTCTCTTGCACGTAAAAATGCAGTTGTAGTTTTATTTGCTTTAGCAGTTTAATTATATGAGTAGCAGCTGTAGCAGTTCTAGTTGCAGTAGCATTCGCAGATACAGCTGCAGTTGCAGTTACAGTTGCAGTTGCA